TGTCTGCTGTTAGGTAGTTTACTGTCAGACCATAAACTAGGGCAGTAGGTTCATCCTGGTGGAGGGCAATGCTGAGCCTCATGTGGCCAAAGTGTACAAGTAATTCCTAAATGGGACCTCACACATTGGTGCATTCCAGTGCAGCCATAGACTGTCCAGGAGCTCACTGATACTCCAGGTCAGGGAGGAGATCCTCATAGGACACCGTAGACCTTCTAATCAGGAGTATGCCCAGATGTCATGTGGGGGCCATGTATACTTCTAAGACAGATAACACAAGCTGGCCTCAATCTGTGATTTCAATTTCTGATTTCTGATATAATTTTAAATCCAGCCCTTAAAAGGTCAATAAGTTTGGTTTCTACTATATGTCAGCAAAGATTTTCAACCTGAATATTTCATTCATCAAGATCTGATGTGTGATTTACATGCTCCCTTTAAATTTTGAATGGTGAACATTAAAAAATGACTCTGACAAGACGAAGATGCTCATGTTTTCCCTTTTTTTCATTCTTAGATCGGCAAATTGCCCTCATGGTGCAGAAGAAACTACACCAGGCCTTCCAGGTACAAATATGATGTGAAGTCTATGCTGTATACATAAAATATCCATGTTTCAGTGAACAAGAGCCATCACTGAGCTATTAGCCACAGCTTAAGAAGCCTGGTTGTTGATTGAGCCCATAAAGTTATCAGGACAGCGTTTACTGCTGGCCATTGGAAAATAAGCTAACTTTTCAAACACCTCCCATCTTTTTTAAGCGGTCTGTGGACGAGAGCCGTTGTGAACTAGAATTATGTAAACAACATTAAACTGATTTGAATATTTAATGAAAATACTTGATGATAAAGAGTAGTCCTGATTTTTTTCTTAAAAAACAGATGCATCACTTGTGTTTTGCCCTCTGTCTGCAGGCATTTGTGGATTATAAGTTGGGTGGCATGGCATATATGGTTGCCTTACCAATAAAGGTAAGAGAGCTTATGGAAAAAAGCAACTGAATGTAATTAAATACTGTAAATACTTAAATGTATTTGAGTTTATACATGCTGCATAATAAAGTAAAATAAACACTCTTGATTTCTTCTGCTAGTTTGAGGAGCCAATCTACGGCAGCCAAAACACAGACTTTACTACATTTGTGACCCCTGGAGCTGTGCTCAGGTCAGTACACTGTGTGCTGGTTAAAGTATAGGGTAGTAGACACCTTACTATACCTGTGTCGGGGCGATC